GAGAGAGAGAGAGAGAGAGAGAGAGAGAGAGAAAGAGAGAAAGAAATCTTCCATCTGCTGGTTCATTTATCAAACATCTACAACAGCTGTTGCTCAGCTAGGCCAAAGCCAGGAGCCAGGAATTTGATCCAGGTCTCCTACATGGGTGGCAGGAACCTTTGAACCATCATCTTCTGTCTCCTTGTGTGTAATAGCAGGAACTGGAATTGGAAACTGAGTTGGGACTCAAACTCAGGCACCGGGAGATGATATGCAGATATCTCAAGCAACCTCAACTGCTTTTCTCAAAATATACACTTTCCATGAACTGGTAAAGACCTCATAAGTCTATTTAAAACAATAAAAATTCTAATGAATTGGACACTTGGACATATAAAACATTATGTAGGCTTTTTTTCCCCGTGGACAGAAAGTAAATGGTTCAAGTTCACATAATTATTAAGGGAAGTCATCATTTGTACCAAGAATGATTCTGCAATATTATGTTCCCAATTTGCTTTAAAAATAAGTGAAAATTGATAGCAATAAAAATAAGAAAAAATGAGAGCAAATCAGCAAAAATAATAAAAGTATTACAAGTTTCTTTATCTGGCTTTAGAATCAAAACTTGCCACGCAGTATATAATTTCTTCATCCTCAAAAGAGGAGAGAAAAACAGAATGTCTCTTGATTAATTTCCCAGAATAGGTGAATATCAGACACTACATTCTGATAAGGATGTCTGAAAACAACACTCACATACTGCAAACACAATGTCCCACCACAACAACAACTCTGCATGATGTTTAAGCAATGCTTTATACTTTGCCATTAGAAGTATGAAAGAACTATTGATTGAATCCCAATATTTTAAAAATCATTTCTATTGGTGTAAGATGGAATTGTTAACTGGTGTATTCACTTCTAAATCACTTTGAAGAGGACCATATGATGGTTCTAGCTATTCTGCTTTCCAGGTAAGGATAGAATCACAAACCACTAAAATATCATCTTGTTAATATTTACTGATAAATACAACATGATCTCTAAGAGTATTAGATCTACCACTAATATCTACCATCAAGACAAATACTTTTTTTAAAAAAAATTATTTATTTATTTGAAAGGCAGAGTTACAGAGAGGCAGAGAGAGAAAGGTCTTCCATCCACTGGTTCACTCCCAACTGGCTGCAACAGCAGGAGCTGCACTGATCCGAAGCCAGGAGCCAAGAGCTTCTTCCAAGTCTCCCATGCAGGTGCAGGGGCCCAAGGATTTGGTCCATCTACTACTGCTTTCCCAAGCCATAGCAAAGAGCTGGCTTGGAAGTGGAACAGCCAGGACTTGAACCAGCTCCCATATGGGATGCTGGCACTGCAGACTGGGGCTTTAACCTGCTGTGCCACAGTGCCAGCCCCAAGACATTTTCTCCTTTATGATACAAAAACAAACGAGCAAAGAGAAAAAAAATCCCTGGCATCATTTTTGTCAATCTCTCTAAATGATTACTTGTACACCATGACTCAATGTAGTATACAAAACAAACAAACAAAAAAAAAGATTTGATCATACATAGGACGATTTATTCAATGAAATTTTATGTGTCAGGCATTTTCCTAAGTATTCCTATGTATTACCCCATCTAATCCTGATAATAAATCTGTGTGGTAGTTTCCCACATATGGATACTGAAGTCTAGAATGGTTTAGTGACTTGTCTGAGAACACAGCTTGGGAAAGTCTAGACACACACGCATGCAGTCTGACTTTGGTTGGATTTGTGCTTATCACAACACACCATAAATAGTAATGTTAACAGCAGGAAGTTAATTTAGAAATCATCATTATTTGTGGGTTTCTCACCTAGAAAACCATTCAGAGGAAGTGCTCTTATTATTACTGTTCCTTTTCTGACCTCATTCATCCTGTTCTAATGCTTAAAGGAGATATGCAAAGCTCTGTCTTTCCCTGTCATCATTCCCCTTAATGGGGATACTGCCAAACAAGACTTACAGCGGTCCTCAGGGCATCTCATGCTCTTGTATGATTACTTCTCCCTTGCCCTATATGTGGTCTGCTTACAAACTGCTTACCAAATTAATCCCAAAAAGGAAGCTATAATTAGAATTGATTACCCATTACCCCTTAATAAACCATCAGTACTAACCTAATCGTTTTATAGCCCTGTTTATTTCAGAAATAGCTAAAGTTCCAAAACTTCCATAGTCACCCATATGGCTCTATACCTTCCCTAATTAGACCCAATGTCCTATCTTTCATTGACACCTGAAACGCAATCATCATGCCCTCTGTCAACAGAACTGTCTCTCCCAGTTCTTCTTGCTGTTCCAATTTGATTCTTACTCTTTCAGGGCAACCACAGTATCTGCTTTGCCTGATGTCCTCTCAAATGGTGGCTGAGTCTGTTGTTTGTGTTGTTTTGTTCCCATGATTTTTAATTCTTTAGCTGCTGTGGTTGAATCTGAAGGAAGTGGAATGGATTTACTACTCCTTAAATGTTCTTCCTCCTTCAAAACCTCAATTAATTCTTTTTGATTTAGACAACCATTGCCTTTCTTTCATGTAAGGAAAGTTCTATACACATCGCCCCATCAGTCCTCAACATCCACATAGATGAATGTTCAAATGTTTCAGCTTCTCAGTGCAATGACTTATTGACTTCCAATGACACATTCTTCTAAATTACCTGAATTACCTATTCCTCCTAATTATTACCATTGAAAATGTGTGCCATTTGCAAACAGTTTTGAAACGTTTCTCAGTGCTCATTCTTTGACCCCACTTCCATTTTTCCATCTCATTTAGTGCACTATCTCATTGCCAACAAAGCTTTGGACAGCTGGAGACTTTCATTTCATTGGAACCTCTTGGTATTTTTCATAACTCATCATCTTCACTTTCCATTATTTTGCTTGTTTTACAATTTAGAGTCCATAAGAATTAGAAAAAGTCTTTTTAATATCCCACTCACTGAATTAATTAATTTCCCCCTCCTTATATTCATCTGATTCACCTGATACTAGTGATTCTCACCAATATTTCTGACCTGCTGTACACACTGGGCCAAAGGAATATTACACTGCTTTGCACTGGACAGCTGTGGCAGCAAAATATGAATGCATCATATGCTACTTTTTGGTATAAATATTATAGCACCATTGGGCAATTCTGTCTGTTTTCTCTCTTTCTCTCTCTCTCTTTTTTTTTTTTTTTTTTTGCTGAGCTTTCACTAAAACATGTGTTGGCATACAGATACCAAAATGTCAACAAAAAATGCAGAATACATAGTTAATACAAGGCAGGTGACTCCTTGGAGCATTTTTCTGGAACCACATCAGCTTTTGTGATAATTAAAAATACTTTCATTCTGTTAAGACCCTAAAATACTGAAACCAACCCAAATAATATCTGGAAAATCTCAAACATTGATTAAAATTAACTGTCAGTTTATTTGTCAGTTTATTATCAGGAGAAACTGCATAACTTCTTTATTTGGTCATACTTATAAATTTAATTTTTGACCAGTGGTTCTTTCTGTCTTTCATACTATTTCACCTCTACAACTCAAGATCAGCAATTCACAAATTCCATTTCTGCCTCCCCTCAACTCATCCAGTTTAACTGCATTCTCAGTTAACAGCCTGTTGGTTTTGTTTACTGAGGATTTAAAAGGCATGCAAAGATTCTGGCACTCCCAGAATCAATCCTACCCAGAATCTATCTAAATTTATATCTATATATGATTTTAACTGTTATAAAATATAATGGGGGCTAGCACTATGACACAGCCAGGTCCTGCAGCACCGGCATCCAATATGGGCACAGGTTCGAGTTCCCACTGCTTTACTTCAGATCCAGCTCCCTGCTAATGTGCCTGCAAAAGCAGGTTCTTGGTCCCCTGTACCCACGTGGGAGACCTGGAAGATCTCCTGCCTCTGGCTGTGGCCTGGAGTGAACCAGTCTCTCATTTTCTCTGTAACCCTGCCTTTTAAATAAATAAATAAATAAATCTTTTAAAAATTTTGAACAACTGCATTCTGGCATTGTGGCACACTGGGTAAAGCTGCCAGCATCCCATATGGTCAGCAGTTTGTATCCTGGTTGCTCCATTTCCAATCCCACTCCCTGATAATGGCCTGGGAAAAGCAGTGGAAGATGGCCCAAGTCCTTGGGCCCCTGGCACTGAAGAGGGAGACCAGATGAAGCTCTTTTTTTAAAAAAAAGATTTATTTATTTATTTGAAAGTCAGAGTTACACACAGAGAGTAGGAGAGACATAGAGAGAGAGAGAGGTCTTTCATCCACTGGTTCACTCCCCAGACAGCTGCAACAGCCGGAGCTGCACCAATCCGAAGCCAGGAGCCAGGAACTTCCTCTCGGTCTCCCACGGAGGGGGGCAGGAGCCCAAGGACTTGTGCCATTTTCTACTCTTTTCCCAGGCCATAGTAGAGAGCTGAATCGGAAGCGGAGCAGCCCACACTGTAGTCAGTGGCCTTACCTGCTACGTCACAGTGCCAGTCCCACAGATGAAGGTCTTGACTCCTGGCTTCCTCCTGGCTCAGCCCTGGACATTATGGCCACTTGGGAAGTGAACCAGCAGATACAAACTCCCTCTCTCTCTCCCACTCTAGTTCTTTCAATAAACAAATAAATCTTAAAAATACAAACAAAAAATAGAACACCTGTTCTTTGTCTTCTTCAAGAAAGCAACAAAATTTTATTTGAATCTTCTCTTTCCTAACAAAAAGACTTTATGTTAAATTACCTGTTTGCATTAATATGCATTTATTTTTATTGGCTCCCTCTCAACAACACATAGACATGATTATGTATTTGCTTAAAAATTTAACAAATACCTCTTGACTCCTTCATCCTCGTTTTTTTTTGTTTGTTTGTTTGTTTTTTTGTTTTTTTTGTTTGTTTGTTTTTGACAGGCAGAGTGGACAGTGAGAGAGAGAGAGACAGAGAGAAAGGGCTTCCTTTTCCATTGGTTCACTCCCCAAATTGCTGCCACGGCTGGCACTGCACTGATCCGAAGCCAGGAGCCAGATACTTCCTCCTGGTCTCCCATGCGGGTGCAGGGCCCAAGCACTTGGGCCATCCTCCACTGCCTTCCCAGGACACAGCATAGAGCTGGACTGGAAGAGGAGCAACCAGGACAGAATCCGGCGCCCCGACCAGGACTAGAACCCAGTGTGCCAGTGCTGCAGGTGGAGGATTAGCCTAGTGAGACACGGCGCCGGCCCTTCATCCTCTTTTCATCCTTACCTTTTCAGTAAGATTCCTAAAATAATTGATACCTTCAATTCACCTCCACATCTCCGGACAAGTTTGCCAAGAAATTTCATCCTACCCAAAGAGATAAACAGTTCAGTCCTCAACTCACTCACCCAGCCAAGCTCTGCATCGGATTTTACGTATTTGTTCACTTCTCCCTTCCCTTCAGAAACACCTTTTAAAGTTTATCTTCAAGAACATCATGACCTTAGCCTTCTGAATTGCTGTCTTTACTCAGTTCCTTGTATGCTCTGCAGTTTTCTCTTCTAGATGATGTGTTCCAGTCCTGTACTTCAATGTATTTATGAAATGTGGAGTGCCAAGTTTCTGTTTCCATCCTGAATATTTCCCATGAGCATTCAAATGGATATAGAGTTTTCCTAGATGTTTACACTCAGAGTGGCCATTTTGTACAGTGGTTAAGATGCTGGCATCCCATATCAGAGTTTATGTGTTCCAGTCCCGGCTCCACAACTGGTTAGCTTTCTGCTGATTTGTAAGCTCAGGGCACCGTAAATGATGGCTCAAGTACTTGGGTCTCTACTACCCAGATAGGAGACTCAGATTGAGCTCTGGGGTCCTGGCTCTGGTTTGGCCCTGTACCTACACCATAGCTTACACCAAAATCTAGAAGTTATCCTTAATCCTCTAATTTGAATGAGACAAGCAGACAAGCCAGAATGGTGCTTTTGGGTCAGTGGCAGTTGTGGAAACTGGTAACGCATCCTAAGGACTAGGACTAGAATAAGCATTCTTGTTATGCCTCCCTATATATCATCAGTCAAAAGGCTTAAATGGTAAGACCAAAGCTAAGCAGAGAAAATTGGGGTCAACACTTGTGTCTGCCAAACAATCTATCCACCATTGATAAAACTGTTTCTGAATATATATATATATATTTATTTATTCAGTTTTATATTGAATATACATACATGGTTATATTTGAAATGTCATTGGAACTCACCATTCTTTTGCTTCTAATCATGTCTTCCACCTTGCTTTCTCTACTACATAATAGTGTCTTCATCGCCTATTAAAATAAAACAAACTGTGGAATACAGGATATTATAAATAACTTACATTTTAAGTAACAATTGCACACGTAGTGACAAGTATGTACTCATGCTACTAATGAAACGTCACTTTATAAATTTGATGATTCTTATAGTCAACTGTGATGGATGATGTTGTCACATTTACATTCAAATTCTTTAACAGAATCACGGACAAATCTGTATTCTACCCAATGTCTCTTTTAGGAAGTCTGAAAGTTTACAGAATAAAAGCACTCCAGTATTCTAGAGTATTATCATTATGATAGTTGTGCCTAGGAGTTAGATAGTAAAATGGTATTTTCTTCTTTTTTTTTATAATCAAAATGGTCTTATCTACCCAAACATTAAATTTAAGATTGCGAAAAAAGTTATGTTTTTGCTCTCATCCTTTTCTTAGCAATTATTTTAAAAACTTAATGAGCTTTGTTTAATACATATTTTTTTCAGGCTAGAGAAGACACAAAATTTTTAAATAAAGCAAATTATTTTTAAATGTAGTGAAAAATAGGAAGGTCCTGCTTCAACCATAAATAAATAACTATGATTATCATTAAATCAAGAAGACAGAAAGGGCCCTAAACAACTTTATTTCCTGTTCCTGACTTGTGCTTTTTACAGGCACATAGTAGTTACAATGGCTGCCAAGGGTATTGACCAGTACATGAGGTCAGTTTGCAACTGTGACTGGACACACTATGAAACAAGGTTTATATTTTGCACAAACTTTCAATTTCTTCATTTTAAATTTTTCTTTCCCTCATATTTGAGGCAAAGGTATTATCATGGCATAGCTATGGCTCTCCTACAAATTGTATATAATTCATAAACAGAAACTGATTAAACATTTTTCTCATTGTAGCTAAATCTGCAATTTGAAGGATCAGGTATGTTCCGTTCCCCATTGCTTTCATAGTATCTAGCAGGTGTCTGATATCTGTTAAGCAGTTATAAATATTTAATGAACTCTATCAATCACCTTATGTGGAGTTTTCACAAGGAATAAAGAATGAATACAAATTTGGTGGAAATTATTCATTTTGTGCTCTTAGGAGAGAAAAACATATAAAGACAATGCTTTATTTCAAATTTCAAAATTTCTATTAATTGTTGTCTTGGTTTGTTTGGGCTGCTAGAACAAAATTTTGTAAACTGAGTAGATTAAAAACAGAAAATCTGGGCCGGCGCCATGGCTCACTAGGTTAATCCTCCACCTGCAGCACCGGCATCCCACATGGGCACGGGGTTCTAGTCCCGGCTGCTCCTCTTCCAGTCCAGCTCTCTGCTGTGGCCCAGGAAGACAGTGGAGGATGGCCTAAGCGCTTGTGTGCCTGCACCCGCATGGGAGACCAGGAGGAAGCACCTGGCTCCTGGCTTCGGACCGGTGCAGAGCCGGCCGTAGCGGCTCTGCTACGGTTTGATTGCCGTGCAATCTCTGCTCTTGTCTTTGTTTAAAACGTGTTGCTAAAACCCCAGACCACCAAGACAGACGGACGCTCTGCCTGCCCAGCGCCATGGCCCGGGAGTGCGAGGGGCCCACTCCGGACTGCTCATCCACGGAGCCCCAGGCTTCTGGAGCCTGACACACACCACACACACAGCCGCCGCCACCGCTCTTTCCCCCGACACGGACGCCACCACCAGCTCACGCTGTACTCAACGACAGCTGACGACACGCGTGTGCCCTGCTGCATGAACTTGATGTTTCACAGTAGGGAATAATTAAAACAGTGCGTGCAGAGGCATTTGGGGGGTGAGCCAACAGAAGGAAGACGTTTCTCTCTGTCTCTCTCACTGTCTAACTCTATCTGTCAAATAAAATAAATAAATAAAAACAGAAAATCCATATTTCTTGTAGATCTGGGAAATTAAGAGTCAAGGTTTTGGTAGATGTAGCATCAGGTACCTGGTTCATATATATATATTTTTTTTAAAAAAGATTTATTTATTTATTTAAAAGGCAGGGTTACAGAGAAGCAGAGACAGAGAGAGAAAGGTCTTTCAACCATTGGTTCACCCTCAAATGGTCGTAATGGCAGGAGCTGCATCAATCCGAAGCCAGGAGCCAAGAGCTTCTTCACTCTGGGTCTCGCACATGGGTGCAGGGGCCCAAGGACTTGGGCCAACTTCTCCTGCTTTCCCAAGCCATAGCTGAGAGCTGGATCAGAAAAGAAGCAACCAGGTCTTGAACCAGCACCCATATGGGATGCTGGCTCTGCAGGCTGCAGCTTTATCCACTATGCTACAGCTCTGGTCCCTCATATATGATTTTACAGCTGATACGAACCCAGAGAACTTGCTCTTTCAATGAAGAAGCACTAGGTCTAAGAAGAAGACGAGACAGCAATTTTACCCAAGTTTTATTGAAAAAGCAGAGGGAAATCTCTGGGAAAAGCTGTTGAAAGGAAATGATCTGAAGGTTTCATAACCCTCTTAAAGTTAGCATAAGGTCCTTTAAGAAAAGTGAGTCTGTGTGGTGAGCTCCTCCTGCCTTCTTATCTCCTATTTCTCCCATTTGGTTGCGACTTCTACAGACAGAGAACAAGTTCAATCTTGGGAGCTGTCAAGGGGAGTTGGTTATCTTTACCACTATCCCAAGATGGGTCACAGACCATTCTAGGCACCTGGCCTCTGGCATGGCTTTGCCACAAGAACCTGCTTTTTCTCAACTGATCAACGAATTCTTTACATCTCCTTTATTATCGCGCTGGCTCTTTAGTGCAGGCCTGTTTCCCAGCTGGGTTAGGAAAATGTTTCAGGTTACCAAGCAGCCTCTTTGTTCTCTCTACCTTTTACCAGTGTCACTCTGACTCTTTTCAATGGCACCTTCCTTACACGGTAGAATGCACAAGGAATCTCCCTCATGCATCTTTCATAAGGGTGAGAATTCCATTCATGAGGACTCTATCTTCTTCATCTGATCAACTCTCAAGTCCTCCATCTCCTAACAACCTTCAGGGTTAAGACTTCAACATATTTTAGAGAGACACGAATATTCAGATGGTAGAAGTTATCAAGGATTGCAAAATATGATATATGAAAAATAGAATTTTCAAGTAAGGCAAAAGAAATAAGCCATTTCCATAAAAGGAAAAACATGATTATTTTCTAAACTTTGAAAAAGATATAAAACATATAGCTCAGATAGCACTGTCATATATAATAACTAAAAAGTAAGCTCCAAATGAAGAAAAAACAGATCTCTTTTATAAAAAAATCAATAATAAAGAAAAATATCTGAAAAGCAAAGAAAACAACTTTGAGAGTTGTTTCAATCCATAAAAATGAGGAAAAGTTGAAAGATCAACTTTTCACATAAAAATATATTTGTGTACCTATGATTCACATCTACACAAACAAAATATATACTTGTTATGCAGAAGTGAGTACTTAGTGTCTTAAAATCTACTTTCAGCTCCCACCTCTAATATTTCCTGGCTCAATAATACATAGTACCTAATTTAAAAATCATAAGCTGGAGTTTTCTTAAATATAAAGTAAAACAATATAATTTCTTTTTTTCTTGTTTTTTTAATTTTTTTATTTAGTAAATATAAATTTCCAAAGTACAGTTTATGGATTACAATGCCCCCCCATAATTTCCCTTCCACTCGAACCCCTCCCATCTCATGCTCCCTCTCCCATTCCATTCACATCAAGGTTCATTTTCAATTATCTTTATATACAGAAGAACGATTCAGTATATATTAAGTAAAGATTTCATCAGTTCACACCCACACAGAAACACAAAGTGTAAAATACTGTTTCAGTACTAGTTATAGCATTACTTCACATTGGACAACACATTAAGGACAGATCCCACATGAGAAGTAAGTACACAGTGACTCCTGTTGCTGACTTAACAATTTGACACTCTTCTTTATGGCATCAGTAATCTCCCTAGTCTCTAGTCATGAGTTGCCAAGGCTATGGAAGCCTTTTGAGTTCGCCGACTTCAATCTTATTCTGACAGGGTCATAGTCAAAGTGGAAGTTCTCTCCTCTCTTCAGAGAAAGGTACCTCCTTCTTTGAAGGCCCCGTTCTTTCCACTGGGATCTCACTCACAGAGATCTTTCATTCAGGGTTTGTTTTTTTTGTTTGTTTGTTTTTTTGTTTTTTGTTTTTTGTTTTTTGTTTTTTGTTTTTCCAGAATGTCTTGGCTTTCCATGCCTAAAATACTCTCATGGGCATTTCAGCCAGATCCGAATGCCTTAAGGGCTGATTCTTGAGGCCAGAGTGCTATTTAGGACATCTGCCATTCTATGAGTCTGCTGTGTATCCCGCTTCCCATGATGGATCGTTCTCTCCCTTTTTGATTCTATCAGTTAGTATTAGTAGACACTAGTCTCGTTTGTTTGATCCCCTTGACTCTTAGAATTAGCAGTGTGATCAACTGTGAACTAAAATTGATAACTTGGACTAGTGAGATGGCATTGGTACATACAACCTTGACGGGATTGTATTGGGGTCCCCTGGCACGTTTCTAACTCCACCATTTGGGGCAAGTCCAATTGAGCATGTCCCAAATTGTACATCTCCTCCCTCTTTATTCCTACTCTTATATTTACCAGGGATCACTTTTCAGTTAAACACCTAAGAATAATTGTGTTAATTACAGAGTTCAACCAATAGTACTAGAAAAAAAAAACAAAACAAAACAATACTAAAATGGATACAGTATTACATTGTATATCAACAGTCAGGACAAGAGCTGATCAAGTCACTGTTTCTCATAGTGTCCATTTCACTTCAACAGGTATCCCCTTTGGTGCTCAGTTAGTTGTTGCTGATCAGGGAGAACATATGATATTTGTCCCTTTGGGACTGATTTAATTCACTCAGCATAACATTATTCAGATTCCTCCATCTTGTTGCAAATGACCGGATTTCATTGTTTTTGACTGCTGTATAGTATTCTATAGAGTACATATCCCATAATTTCTTTATCCAGTCTACTGTTGATGGGCATTTGGGTTGG